GTTGCATGGATGACAAGATTAACGAAAGCTTGTAATGAAGCTCATTCTCTCATAATTTGAAGGCAGTATAGAGTTTCTTACTTCGTTTTGGTAGTATGAATGTTAAGTGTCATTACTTAAGGGGCTGAAGAAGATTTGATACAAACATGAGTAAATACAAAGTATCAGAACTGCTTAATATCCAAGAGCTTCACAACTAGGGAAAATAAGGACTAATTGTTTGAAATGTTTATTTTTTAAAATAATGATAAATATCATATGCTATCTAGATCTGATTTACATGGATTCTGTTTATAATCTGCAGATTTTTGCATTGTCATCATTGTTCACAAAGGTAGCGAAGTTAAATTCAAATTAGTTACAACTCCTGGATGAGTTGATCATCTGGCTTGTGTAAATTGGTGTAATTCCACTTACTTTGATAGAAATACGTTAAGGTGGAACTGTTGAAATTCTGTCCCAATGTGTCTAGTCTCCAACTCATTAGCTTTAAACAGGATCATTTTATAGTATTTTAGATCATTTAAAAACTTGTTCAGCCTTATACACTGTCGTGGTTTAACCCCAGCCAGCAACTAAGCACCACCCAGCTGCTCGCTCACTCCCCCCCAGTGGGATGGGGGACAGAATTGGAAGGGTAAAAGTGAGAAAACTCGTGGGTTGAGATAAAGACAGTTTAATAGGTAAAGCAAAAGCCGCGCACGCAAGAAAAGCAAAAGAAGGAATCCATTCAATCTTTCCCATGGGCAGGCAGGTGTTCAGCCATCCCCAGGAAAGCAGGGCTCCATCACGCGTAACGGTGACTTGGGAAGACAAACGCCATTACTCCAAACGTCCCCCCCCTTCCTTCTTCTTCCCCCAGCTTTCTATGCTGAGCATGACGTCATATGGTGTGGAATATCCCTTTGGTCAGTTGGGGTCAGCTGTCCTGGCTGTGCCCCCTCCCAACTTCTTGTGCACCCCCAGCCTCCTCGCTGGTGGGATGGGGTGAGAAGCCAAAAAGGCCTTGACTCTGTGTGAGCACTGCTCAGCAGTAACGAAAACATCCCTGTGTTATCAGCACTGTTTCCAGCACAAATGCAAAACACAGCCCCATACTAGCTACTATGAAGAAAATTAACTCTATCCCAACCAAAACCAGCATATACACCTAATTAAACTTATTACCTTTGATATATCAAATAAACTATTTGCTTTAACTGCTTTTAAAGTATTTGATGTTATACTTAATTTAAAATACAAACAAACCGAAATAACAGGCATCTTTTGACATTGCCTGCTGCATCTTTTAAATATGCCTTCAGTTCTGCTTAGGCTGATTCATTGAGAGAATCGCTAGTAAAGATGTCTAAAGAAGAGAGATCAAGAAAACTTTAATGACCTGTGAGGCGCAGCTTCAAAGTAATCATCATCAGCATAACTACTTTGTTGTGTAAATGCATTTCTAGCCTAATAAACAAGTGTGATGTAAATTTTCGTTATACTAATAGAAGGTTAATTTAGTTGTTGGAATTGTGATCTTGAAATCTTGTACATAGTAAAGTTGTCCAATATGCACATTATGTAGGAAATAGCAAACTTGAATTAATTCCTAGATAAAATTAGTATGCATTGCACTTCAGTGATTTGTCTTTGTTTTGTTTCTCTAATCAAAATTTCAGTTAATTTCAGCTTTGTTCTCTGCCTCCCCCACATTAGTTCCATTGTCTTGATTTGCATCATTTGTAGCAGCTGGCTTCTTGTCAATCTGTAGTTTGGACCTTTACGTCAAACAGCAAATTAATTACAGGCAAAGAAATCCCAATAGTACTTCTATGCTTAGAGGCTTTCACAATTATCAAGAAGTGAATGTTGCTGATTCTTCTCAGAAATGAGAAGTGGAACATGGGAAAGGGGGCAGCGTGTGCTTCACAGGTACCATTAGTTATCTCTAGAAGTAAGCGTTGGTCAGTTACCTGTACCTTCCCTTTCCTAGACCCTCCCCTCATTTGTTATAAAGTTAAACTAGGAAAAAATAGCAATTAAAAAAAGTAGTATGAGGTACGTATTTTTTGTTAAAGGATGCATAGCCTTAATGCGCCTCAAGTGCAGAAGCATTCTCGGGAGTTTATTGGAAGACCTGCTTGCATCCTAAATGATACTTCCTTTTCCCTATACCACATCTTAAAAGCATAACCAAAAAAGCCTACTTGAATTCGTTCTGTCATAATTTGTGAACTTACATTTTTCTTTCTATAAAGAGAAATCAAGAGAACCTTTTAACATCAAGCAACCTGTACAAAAGGCTGACGAGTGTCTTGTCCAGAAGGTGCCCGTAGAAACAGACGTTTAAAGTGCGAGCAGTCAGTGTTTAGACCCTCAACATGCTTTTCTGACATCAGCAAGTAATTTAGTCTTCTATCAAGTTGCTGCACTGTGTTAAATTCCTTTTATTCTTAATGGCCATTAGTAATGGTTAGGAAATTAACATTGCTTTTGTATTTTGCTACACTTCTATTGTTTTTTTTTAAAAAACAACAAAATGCAGCATTCAAACAACACTGGTTACTGTGGTGGGGAAATAGGCAAAGCGGGTGGAGGTGGGGGAGTCGGTATATGGTATAAACATGAAGGAGATATGCTCTACTTACAGTGAAATACTCTATTGAAATCATGGGCCAGTTTAGTCTAATTTATTCGCTATCTTCTATTGCTCATTTCCCTCATTTTTATGTTTTTCTTTAACAAATAGGTATGATTTCCATGGCTATCTTTTCAAGATACGTATCATCTCTGACTTTCTGATGAGTTTTGCTATCTTTAACTGAGCTATCTCATGTAGTCTATCTTTTCAGTAGTGCGCAGATCACGAAAGAAGGTAATACCTTGCCCAGCTCTTAAGAGAATATTGAATTTTGCTAGATACAGTGTCTGTTTTGTAGCAATATCTTTCCTCATTTTCCATACTGTATTTTTAGCACAGTTTAAGAGCTCAGTCCAGCATTATTCCAAGGTCATTTTCAAAGTCCTGCTGTGATTCTGATTCTTTTACATTTGTCTCTGGTTTTGAGCTGAACATGAAATTTAGTGGTTTAGCTTTTGAACGGAAAATTTAATTTACAACTTGTCAGTTCATTTACAAAACGGATACCACTGTGAAGGATTCTCCTAAATATATATGCAGCCTTTCTCTTTTGTTGTCCGTTCATTTCTTTGTTCCCATGAAGCATGGAAATGCACAAAAATCACTTCGAAAATCTGAATCATAGCTGTCATTGCTGACCGTATCCTCCCGGCCTTTCAGGCTGCGCAGGCTGTGCGAGACAGCAGATGGTGGCTGCACATGCAGGGTATCCGTCCAGGAAACAATGCTTGCCTTCTCTCAGCATCCCTGCCCTTCGTCTGCCCACAAAACTCCAGTTTATTGACAAAACTTGAGTAACTGCTTGTAGAAACGTTAGGATCTTTTCTTTTAGTAGAAACCCTCTTAAATTTGAGCATATTGCTTCCCATACATATTTTCAGGTACACCACTTGTTGTCTCTGTTTTATGGTGAGTAGGTGTTATGTGTAATGTCTGAAATGTTTGTGATGAATCAACTAGCATCGGCTTTGAAGTGTGCGTTTAACTTTCAAAATACTTAACACATTTTAATCCTGTGTAAAATGAATAGTCCAAAGTGACTGAGAGTCTGCTAGGCAGTGGGTTATCGCAGGAGGTAAAGCCATTAAGTCCATTTGGATTTGTCTCAAACTGTAATCATGACAGTATATAAAACAAGAAACCTTTGTATGCATGAAAGTAATTCAAAATACTGAGTCCCAAATGAGGTGTTGCTGTGAATCTTTAGCTTTGACAGCTGAGATTTGCTTTGGGGATTCTACATAAGATAAGCTAAGCTTTTCTTATTTGATTGAACTGCAACTTTTTTTCCTGAGTTTTTCAATGGAGTGTTATCTAAGTGTGAATAAACCTATTCCTTGTCTTAAAGTGAAGTCTGTTCAGTAGTTGCATGGGCTAGATAATCAAGATGAGACTGACAAACTTGTGAAGCATTACTGCTATAGGAAACCAAATTGAAATACAATGGCATTTGCACACACTCAAAGGGACCTGAATGGGTGGGCACAAAGGAACCCAGAGCTGGAACGTGCTTCATCCCAGCCTGAAAACTGTCTCTGGTGCTTGTGACACCATGTTTTATGTTTGGAAAAGGAGCTCCCCTAGCAAGGTGGCTGAATTGACACATGCTGTTAGATCGCTGAGTTGTCACACCCCGTAAGTCACTTGTTTTCAGTATCAAATGCTGAATACATCATCATTAAGTATTGTGCTTTACTCACTTTAATCTAGCCCGCTACATGCACTAGGATGTCTTTTTGAGTTTTTCTAGGAAGGAAGGAACCAGAGATTCAAGTCAACTTTTTCAATAGTTATTTTTAGAACACTGGAAACAGTGATGACAGTATTTATAGCCAGGATAAAAAACTTAAAAAATGGTCAAAGTGCATCCAGCTGGCCTTTTGATTGTTTGTTTAATTGATAAAATGGGTGATTTCTGCCTCTGTGGTTGTGGAAGTTGACAGTGTGAATGGTATTGCTGATTTCTGTAAAGTACTCTAAAACAATGGGTTTATACTCTTACAGTGATGTTTTTTGGTTTCATAGTAACTCTAAAATTTGTATCCTGGTTGACTGAATTTCTGTTGCTCTTCTTAACAGATGGGAATGAGGAATTTTTAAGCATGGCATGATAGCGTAGAGGTTATAATACATTCACCACTTTATACTTCTCCTGGAGTCCATGGATATTTTGCTCTGTTAGTTTTATTGGCCAAACCTGTTAACAAGAATGAATGTTCTGAGAAAGATTTTAATAATGACCAATTTTTGTATGCAGAATTATTCTTTGGAATTTAAAACTTGTAGAAAGGAAATACACTTTAATGTATCTTACTTCTGTGGTTTTAGTGTATTTTTAGCTCATGATTTCACAGATCCTTAATATTTTTAAATACAGGTAATGAATTTGGGCATCCAGAATGGCTGGACTTCCCCAGAAGAGGGAATAATGAGAGCTACCATTATGCCAGAAGACAGTTTAATCTTACTGAGGATCATCTTCTTCGCTATAGATTCCTAAATACATTTGATAGAGATATGAATAAATCGGAGGAAAGATTTGGCTGGCTTGCATCTCCCCCGGTAAGCTGTATATACTAAATGATAAGTTTTTAGTCACCAGTTGGGTACGTGTTCAGAATAACAATACCAAATTTGCATGCAGAAATTTTAAACAGCACTTTATTATGCACTGCGTAATGCCCCACCATATATTTCAAGTTGTCAAAACATGTCACTGAAATATCTTCCACAGATAATAGAAATCTGAGACAGTCTCCTTTAGCTTCATAGCAAGTTCTTTTCCTATTATTTTTGCGATTTTTATTTAGTAACTGCAGATTGGATAAAGCAGACTATAAAATTGTCTGTAATCTAATCCAAGGATTGCTTTGGGAAAGTGTAAATTGTTCTGACTATTTACTTTATATAAATAATTACTCTGTTACTGAGAAAACACTTGCAGTAGAGTATGGTGTGAGTTACAGTCTCCCGGTCTTCAACCTGTCACTTTTGTATTTGCCTTTTTTACCTAAATACTGCACTGTACTTTTTATCAAAGCAACTCAATTACTATAATTTTTCAGTGTTTAATTATTTCATACTAGTCATAATCCACTTTAAAGTTTTCTTTTAAATGGGTGTCTAGTTATTTATTAATGGCTTTAGCAAATAGAACATAGGTGGTATGTGCAGAAGTTTAATGTGGCTTATCAAAGCTATTTCTCACACAGACTTTAAAAAACAAACAAAAACCATATCCAGTGCTTCATTTTCTAAATTACTAACAGTGGATGTGATGCTGATCCCTATAAGAAGTAGATTGAAGGCTTGATTTAATAAAAGGAATCCATTTTTTGCTAAAGGAAACTGTGATAAAAAGACCACGTTACCAATCTTTGAGTAAGAATTTTTCAAGTGCTCTATACCTAACATGCTTCTACCTCTTCAATTTTACATTGCCTTATAAAAAGTAAGCTATAGTTTAGTAATCAAAAATTTCATATGACATTACATAGGTAAACAATTTCAGTTTGCATGTTAATGCCCTTATCTATGTTGCTTGAATCTGTGACTATTTTACTTGAAATGAGGTATAGAAGCAGTGGGTTTTTTCTTTTATTTTTGGTTTTTTTTGTTAATTCAGTTAGAAATGAAATATTTTATAATATTGGGTTTTCATTTTTTTCTTGCCTAGGCCTTTGTGAGTGAAAAGCATGAATCCAATAAGGTCATAGCATTTGAGAGAGCAGGTCTCATTTTTATTTTCAACTTCCATCCGCATCAAAGTTATGTGGACTACAGAGTAGGTATTGAAAATCCAGGAAAATATCCTTTTCTTTATTGTTTCGCTTGTACAGAAAACCTTTAGAAGTTGAAATCTAATTTTATTTCTGTTTTCTAATATGAATGCAAATTGTAGTTAAAAGGTGAGAAACCACTTACTTGTCATCAGTATAATCTTCCTTTAATTCTTGGTGTACAGCAAAAAAAAAATTTAGAAATTTGCCTTCTTCATAAGAGATCATTTTGTAGAAACCAAAAGTAAAAATCGCAATTTAAAGATTAAATGTTAAAGTTTCCTTGTGATACCTTGTTTTTTGGAATTATGTTGAGGCACGAAAGCGCAAGTAACTCCTACTTAAATAAACTACAGAAAGCGACCACAGTAAGATGAGGTTGTCACGCAGTCACACAGGAAAATGCATTAGCTTAAACCTTCACCAGGAAGGTTGTACAATTTCTGTTTTATAACTGGGTGGACTGAGAATGTGCTCTTAGCTCAGCTGAACAGTATATGATTACTTTTGAGTAAGTGGCTGGTTTTGCATTTGTGTCCAAATTCTTAGCATTGAGGGAGATTCAAAAAATTAATGCTAACTTGCCAGAGGAATTTAGTTTGCCCGAATTCAGTTTGTTTCAAGTCCTTTGACAGTCTGTCTAGTGAATCTTGCTGTGTCAGTTTAAAGCATTGCAGTTCCAATTTTGGCCTGCTGTCTTTTTATTTATCAGCAATTTCAGGACACTAATGCCATATTTCAGTTGCTTTAGTTCAATGTATTACTCTAACTCCTGAGCACTGCTGAATTGACCTACAGGGTCTCAGGAACTCAGCAAGATTCTGGTTTAGAAACACCAAGTCAGACCCGTCTTCTTTGGCGCTTTCTTCTTCCAGTTGTATGCTGCTGCTGGAACTCCTGGAAAAGGTAGAATGGGGTAGTAAATCGGAGTAGTAAAATCTTAATCTGGTGTTGTGAGATATACCAATACCTGACTGTCATAGGCTTCAGGTATTCACCTGTTTAAGTTGATGCTACTGCACTTCATCTGTCTTGTATGGAATCTTTGAGTTCTGCAGATCAAAAAGGTGTAAGTTCAGTGTAAAGGCCTACAACACGTAACAGAATTAGCGTGACTTTTTTGCTCTGATACTTACACAGATACAATTAAATCCAACCCCCATTTTGTTGTTCACTTTCTGCCTTTCTTTTTCAAAGATGCTAGAGGTTCAATTATCAGAAATGCTTAAGAAATATTTTTTAAAAAAATCTCACTCTTAATAAATTTTGTATCACTTATTTTCTCTCTTTTCCATAGCACATCTTCACCGGGCTTGTATTTAATTATGATTATATATGAGGCTGTTATCCTAACTTCATTTTCTGGTTTGTGCTAAATTAATTAAATACCTAGGAGTTGTTTTTCTGGGTGTGTAAATGCCCTGCACACATTGTTACAAAAATTCTACTCCTTGGCACTTACAGCTAAGATGAGACTAAGCTGTGCTCAGGCACTTCTGAAACTATTTGGGCTTTCTTTATGTTTATGGAAATATTTTTATGACAGTTTGTTGACTAAATATTTAATATAAGCAGCCTTTCGGTTTTCCAGTGCTTGAAATTTTTCAGTCGTTTCAGAAACATTTCATGTATCTATTTTACACCATCAGAATCTCCTTTTTCCTTATAAATTAGGCATTTACTGTTTATATAGAATCCTGAACGCGTTGCTCCTGTTTCAGCTGAGGCTGCTCTGTAGTAGCTCTTCTGAAGCAAATTGCAAAATTTGCTTTTCACTGGTTTTACTTTGCAAATCAAGGCCCAGCTGGGTTTCAGTAAGTTGATCTGTTGCTAGTTCACTCTGGGCATTGAAACAGCTTTCTGCTGTATATTGGCTGGAAACAGTCATTGCTAATTGATTTTTTTATTTTTTTTTTTTAATGTAAGCAGAAACTCATTGGAAAATGTTTGCTATTCACTTAGTAGTAGATGATCAGGGATTTTTTACATCCTTTATGTTTATTTTGGTTCACTGAAAATTGTACTGAAATTTAACAACAGCTCAAGTGCGTTCTAAACAAGGCATACAGATGATGTTTCATATTTGCAGTTATATATATATAAAAATATATTGTATTTTTTAATATGTTAGTGTCAGTACACATCCTTGTCTTTTAAGTGTGTTCAGTATAATTTTATTTACCTCATGTATTATAGACAGTTTAAATTTAAAAGGCCTTTGTTAAAGCATAAAGATCCGTATTAGCTTTTTGTTCACTAACCTAAAGTCTTTATTGCTAATGGACTGCTGGTTACCAACAGTGTATTTGCTTTTGTTAAGGTATGTTGTCTGACTAGCCCCTCCTGCCCCAAGCAAACAGTGGATTTTGTGGTTCTGTCCTCAGTGTGTGACGTGCTCTGCAGCCTCTGGCAGGCGCAGAGGGCTCTAAATGCTGCCACTGCTCTTACTGCTCTGTGAAACATAGTGCACCTTCACCTCTGCTGAGCTTCGTTCATTTTGGTTAAGGAAGCCTCTGTCCTGTTTTACGGTATTGTACTGTTTGCAACTCTGAGAGGGAGCAGTTCTCTTAATTTTGTGTTCTCACTTGGGAATCACAAAGGTAGAATCTTCCCATAAATCTCCTTTTCAACAACCTTCCCCTATTAATTTTATTCTGTGGCAGTTCAATGCGTGAACCAGGGGAAATTCCTGAAAATACTCTGGGAGGGAACTGTTGCCAACTGGCTCTCAGCCTGATTTAACCTTGGATTTTTAAGTCTGAAGGTAGGAACCTTCTCTTCCTTCCAGTATCACGGATTCTGAAGATGCAAATCATTCTGAATAATACATATACTTAGGCAGATATATTGCAAGAGTTTGTGCAAGTTCTGGTTCAAAAAGCTGGCCTGAAACTGTCTTCAGGTTTCAAAAGCTGCAGTGTTTTGCATGATTGTCCCTCAAGGTGAACACAGCAGTGTTTCTCATGTCAGGAGAATAAAAAACCTCCTCTCAGTTGAAAAAAGTATCTTATAAAGACACTTTGCTAGAATGGGGTGTGTTTGAACAAATAATTTAGCTGCTCCAAATTTGTAGTTTTAGCTTAAAAGCAGATTGAATGTATCTTCATCAGACTTTCCTGAAACAAAATTTAGGAAGTTGCAGTGGTTCTGTTGACTGTTGAAATAAAAATCATAATGTTTTTAAACTGTTGTGCATAAAGAGGAGAAAATAACAAAGGAGTGAAAAGAAAAAAGCAAGTTTAACTTTGGTCAAAACCTTTTGATTTGGCTCGTAAGAATCTTTATTTTTTTGATTTTTCTCTTTGGCCTTTGAAATAAAAGTCTCATTTATGTTAATTAAGTTCTCTTTTTACCTGGGAAGCTTATTTATTATCTGTATTAAAAAGGTCACTGTGTTCTCATCCAAGGCCATCACATGGGATGAATTGTTGGGATTTTTGTTCTAAAGGAAGTGCTTTTGACTGTATGCATCAAATAAGACAACGTGCCCTGATGCCTACAGCATAAAAATCTCACTTCTTAGTGCCTGTTGCTAGCAAAGTCCTTGGACAGTAAGATGTCCGTAAACACGTTGAACATACCTAAATTTCTCATTTCTGTTCTGTCTAGGAGAAAGTTAAGCAGTACTGTATTGACCAGTTGTGTTCTCAGTATCATAGAATCATGGAATCATTAAGGTTGGAAGAGACCTCCAAGATCATCGAGTCCAACCGTCAACCCACCACCACCATGCCCATTAAACCATGTCCCTAAGCACCTCATCCACACGTCTTTTAAATCCCTCCAGGGATGTTGACTCAATCTCTCCCCTGGGCAGCCTCTTCCAATGTTTAACCA